AGAGAGAGAGAGGGGGGGAGAAAGAGAGAAATGGGGGAGGGGGGTGAGGCAGGGGCTTGGGCGAGGAAAAAGAAAAAAAGGGGGCAGGGTGGGGTAACACTGGGAGATTCGAGAAATCATAAAAAAGAGATAAAAAAGTTAATTCAATTATGCGTTTACCAGCTATAATTTACCTCATGGCCTTGCAGGCTTGACTGGACTGATAGAAGTAGTAATTTCTCATGTCGTAGATCTCCGAGGGCACGCCCACACAGCTGGACACTAAGTCAAACACACCAAGGGAGAGAAGCAAGAGATTCTGGCTGCTCTTGCGCATCTTGCGGATGAAAATGTAGACGATGACGACATTTCCGGCCACGCCCAAAACCATCATGGCCACCAGCACTACGATGGCTGGGATGAGGCGACGAAAGATGTCGTCGTTGAGCTGTGTGAGGACTGTGACGTTCCAGACTGGCTCCGACCTCCCGCTGGAAGAGTTATCTCCTGAGTTTACGAAATCGTAGGACACTGTGTCGAAAGGCATGCCTTTCAGTATCATTCTGAACCTCCTGTCTTTAGCGCGGTTAGGCACGTACTGATACGCACGCCCTTTCAACACAATTAGGTAAAATGAAATATAAAATAAAAAGGAACCCCCAAAACAGCAACAACAACAAAATTAAAACTCTCTGTCTTCAGCGCGGTTAGGAATGTCCTATATTACGCCCCATTCAACACAATTAGGTGTTGTAGAATTTGAAAACAAAGCTTTTCTGTCTTCAGTGTGGTCAGGGGCGAACTGCTACACTACTTTCGACACAGTTAACAATGTAAGAAAATTATGTCTGTCTAAAATATATTTATACATTTGCTTCAAATATATCTAGATCTAGATATCTAATCGTAATTTTCAGAAAACAATTGGCGCTTTTTTTCTCCTCGTTTTACTGCACTTTTCTATCACATCAATTGTTTTAGTCGTAAGACTAGCAGGTAGTCAAGGGTGACGTTTCAGTTGGGGGGCACAGACAGTCATTGTGACAGCTTCATTTTGAATTTCACCATCTTGAGGGGAACGTAAAATCCTCTCAGCATTGGGGTTTTTTTTTTGGAATTGGTAAAAATATTTTTTGTGAGTTGATGATGCTTTTGTTCTTGCTATAAGCAGTTGTTCTTGTATAATTTGTTGCTGTTGTGATCGATGTTATCGTTTTTGCTTTTCCAACTGCTGCTAAAATAAGGGATTTCTGTTCACTTTAGAAAGCATCACAACGTCTGCTGCTTAAAACAAGTAGCTGCTATCCGTGTAAAAGAATCAAACACTTTTAAAATAATCAAACAATTGGTATCCGTCCAATGGAATCAAATACTTGTCATCCGTTCATACGAATCAAATAGCCATATCCGCTTACGAAAGTCGAATTTTCATTATCCATTCGCTATCATATAGCACAATTTGTTATCCGTTTGTAAGAATGAATCAAATGACCATATTCCCTTTGCAATACCAGAACCAAAATGTTTATAACATGCGCCAATCATCTCATGATGCTAAACAGTCAGTAAATCTGGACAAGGTGCTATCTTACAGTAGGTGTTCACGTTGGTCCAATCCTTTGGGCATCGAAGCAAAGAATAAAATCCAATCTCTTCCGATGTTATGTCCTGTTCCCTGTTGCCTGTTCTTTGCTGAATCGGGCCACCCTGTAAGACAAATGAAACGAATAGACAAAAACCAATTAAGAAAAAAAAATGGTTTGATTAATGTAACTCAGAAATGATAAAAGGAAGGACAAAATTAAGAAAGGAAAATAAAACAAAAATGATTTTTTCCTGATACATGGTGCTGTTAGAAGCTGTTTGCGTGTGTGGATTCGATTGTTTGAATAAACATTTCGCTAGGTTAAATGAATAGTGTCATCTTTCCTGTATTTGCAGCGGTGAATGGATGCTTGAGATGGAAAGATAGAGAGAGAAAGAGAAAGAGAGAGAGAGAGAGAGAGAGAGAGAGAGAAATAAAGAGAGAGAGAGAGAGA